TCTTCGGAAGTGGTGGGGACTCCTGATTTTATCCAACCTTGCCTTCTTCCGATGTTGCTGCTTCGGCCAAGCAGAATAGTATCTCTGTGTTTGTGTACTCTGTATCCTGAATAGGCTGCAGGTGCGGAGGTCACAGACCTCTTCTGAGAATTGGAGAAACGCCTCTTCTGAGAATGATGATCGGTCGTCGTTGTTCGATGCATACACTGGACTCACAGGTGCGCACGCTCACATAATATGCTCATTGGAAAAAACATGTGATGGGAGGCGCTGTCTAGCCGCCACTCATGAAACGGACCGTGTGCAACGAGAGTATTGGACAAGCCGTGTTCGCGAAGCGAAAAATAAAGAGGAAAAATAAATGGAAAATAAACGCGTCTTCACTGCGCGTGCGTACAGCCAGCGGTAGTTGATCCCGGTCATTTCACTAGCAGTAGAGCAATGCGTGAGGTCAGGCCTATTCGATAAAGGCTAAACCATTAGACCACTCAGTCAGGTGGAGGTGCACCTCGTATTCGTCAGACCAGGCATCACTTTCGCGGCCAGCTGAATGCAATAATAATTGCCTCACATCAACAAATAAATAATACCATTATATTCAAGGTCTCCCTTCGGGACGTGGGTGTTTACCCTCCCTCAGGTGACGCAAGACCACATGCGCATTCCCGAAGAGGGACTGTGTGTCGTACAACGCTTGTATTTCCGCACAAAACATCGCGCACGTAGTTATTCTACATTGAATTGGAGCCAGCTCGAGCGGACAGTATTTTGGCAGCGAAAACTCAGACTTCCATGTTGTCTTTGATTGATGATGGCAGATTTTCGATGAGAACCGAATTTCAAGCCGAAACAACACCCCAAATGGGGCATGTTTAACACTGCGGCTGGATACATACTCTCAGACTTCTCTACACTTGGCCCGCTGCGAAGTGTAGTAGTAAACGTGGGTACTGCTGTTGGACAATGCGATGACACGAAGAGTCACAGCCATGAATCATCGAACGAATGAATGAACAAATTAAAGTGGAGAAGCAAGAGGCAAATATTTCAAACCGTCGTATTTGATAGGTTTGATAGGTTTCAGAATTGGTTCGCCAGGCTTTGTCAGCGCGGAATGCAGTTTTCGTAACTTTAGCCGTCAACCACACGCGCCACGGAGGCCTACCGAGCTCCGGGCACAGGCGTTAATGTACCGACGAGCCTCCTGCGTGCCCCTGAGGAGGAACCGCGAGAAAAGACTCGCTGGGGCGAGAGAAAGACACGCTGAAGCATGAAAAGTTACCAAATATTATATCAAATATTATATATATATGTGTTTGTTGCGTTCTCGGTTGTTCAAAATTGATGACCGACAAGTTTGGCAACGTTCATTGTCATATGTAGACCGGGCGAAAGTGTTAAATAATTCAACTTCTAGACGGCACGGGCTTGCACGGGTTTGGGTTCCAAATGACTAACAATGTTTGATTAAGTCTATGATTTAATTGATAGACTTAATAGTGAAGCTGTGTGTTCCGACGCATGCGGGCTACACATACAGCAGGTAGTAGGTGATGAGTGAAGGGAACCCTACAGTTTTCTAAAAACATACTTTGCTTCTTGAATGCTCCCTAATTACCGCACTTGCAACACGCACATAGACTAGAAGCCACTAGCAGTAGCATAAAACAGTTACAAACGCCGATTCTAACCTGATGGCGCAAGAGAGAGTCATCATTGTCGGGGTGAAAGAGGGTTGGGAAGACAAACAAAGCGTGCTCAAAACAAATTCAGACCCCTCCACGACAAAACTTTATTTTGGACCTCTCCGGGGGTGTGGGGGTGTGGGTACGAAGCCCCCCCCCCCAAAAAAAAAAAAACGCCATACAATTTCCAATATAAATAATCCCATGCTAAATCCTATATAAAGAGGGGGCACATTTATTTCATGAACGCTGGTGATAGTACAATCCACGTAGGTGAGCTTGCGTGCACCGCAGCCGCGGTACCGTCCATAGTACAGGAGAGAGAGAGCTTGGGGAAGAGTGGTCACGATGAGCACAGTCTCCGTTGCGAGGGGATCCCTATCAACGACCCCGTCGACAAGACGGGACAAGCTTGGGAGACATGGCATACAACCTGCCGCCGTTGTTATGGCAGGTGTTGCAGGTTAAAAAGCCCCTACGTCCGACAGTGACAGTTTTGGTTGTTCGGCAGCTTCGACGTGTCCCCCTAATACCTCTCGCGTATCCTCGCAGGTGCGCGGGTTCTTGCTTCCTAGGGACAACCCGTACTTTTCGACACCTAAAGTGCCCTGGACATAACACTTCCTACTCATTGGCAGCCACAAAAAAATCAAACGTGTTCGAGCAGTTGAAAAGTACAGACTATGTGGACTATCATGTTTATTTTTCTCTGAATACCCGTCTCCGGCGGAAGCCATACGCATCGTACGAGCTACACTAAGCAAACCGCCCAAATATGGCATGCATTCACCAGGTCATGATACCTTGCTGTGCGTCTCTGCGTAAAAGATTCGAGCGCAAGACGCGGAGATTTTGCTCGAAGTACTATGACACTGTGATGCAGCATCGTAGTGGTGGAATTTTTCCATCCCACAGAGGTATGAGAAAACAATGGCCCGCAGGGCAAGCGTTTTGTTGGGGATACTGGGCACGCAAGTCGCACGCCGCGGTGCCATCTGGCTCGCGAATTCCTTTGACCCGCCACTAGGTGGCCATGGTCATTTCTCTTTTGCCGTCGAGCATTCTGAACAGCATCATGAACATTCTCATGTCACAGCTTCCCGCTGTCGAGGGGTTTCCTGGCTGATAGTCCCCACCAATGGTAAACCTTCGCATTCCGGAGACTCGTCAGGGGTCTGACACAACGCTCGCGTTTAGTACACATGTGTCCGAATATGTATTCCAACTAATTCTGCGACGCTATGTTCTGGTGGTGCTGCATGTACGCCTGTCTCCTTCTCGACTCTTCCCACTTTGCCTGTCTCTTCTGATACCTCTTCAAGCTCTTCCCCACGAGGGCTCTGCGTAGACAACACCAGTTGAGCAACAGTGCAGAGGACACACTTGTTCAAAGAGGAGCTCATGATGAATGGGGGACTCAGCATACAGAAGCAGGACAGGTTGGTTGACACAGCGGTATTATTGGTTCAAAAGCCTAACGCCGGGGGGACAATTGTCTGGGTGTGAAGTATCGGCTACGGGAACTTAGGGTAGATGAAGTCTGGTCTTGATCAGGTGGAACACGTGTGAACCGCACATGATCCTGAAGCCGGGTGTTCGAACCCCGAATCGGGTTGTGATGTGGTCGATAGTGACTGATCTTTTCATCACAGAATCTTCATTCTTCTGCCTGATTCGACTGAATTGACGCATTTTCCTTCCACGCTTTTTCCAGCTTGGGTAAGTGGTGCAGTAGATTTGAGCGGTTGTGGTGACTTCATTGGGTCCCTTGGGTAGCGCACTAAGACCAAGACAACGAAAAAAGGCTATACATCGATGCAGCATGTCGCGCATGTCACCTGGTGTCGCGGAGACCCCTTCCGTGCTCGGCCCCAACAGCTAAGATTCCAGGACCCCTTAGACCTGGTCTCCACATGTCCCGGTGCCGCCCCGAGGTTTTCAACAAACCGGCGAGATTCGAGGTGGAATTAAATGTTACTCATGACGAGGAGATGCCATATTCATAACAACAATCGTGAAGTCCTCGAGACAGGAAGTTCGATTGGTGACCAAGAAATGACGGTTCGAGAACTTGCTTGTTCGTTGTATACACAAACAATATTGAAAACAGGGCTCCTTTAAGCCCAATAGTGACCTGTTTCGGGCATCGCGACGCCCAAAAGATGAAGTATTGGAACAACGTTCACGCGATCACCTCTCTGGCTGATCACGTCTCCTCCGACGGGTCTGCAAACTTCTACCGTTCCAGGTGCGGCAGAAGGCAACGAGCCGTGGTCGCTGTCGACCGTTAGGGAGAGGTCGGTGGTTTGTACGACGAGTGTCTTGTACCTACCAAAATCGAGGAAACGGGTACAGGGAGTGCCACGCTGGTTGAAAGATTGGTACACCCGCGCCAGATTGTGTATTTGGTCCCTTTCGCCCAACCACGGTTGGTTGATGAGCTGAATCATGGTCACTATATGTCAGATCATGCTAATGATGTAAGTTGCAGCGTGACCGATGGCTGATGTAGCAGCTCTACACAACAGTCAACTGGAGTACGTTCAGCCAACACCTGCACCTTTGCCTCATACTCCCTCTTGTTTCACGATCGGAGTGCCTGCCATAGTTTTTTCCGATGAAAACAAATGTCAACAGTACCACGCCCAGTCACACGGGGTGTTTTGATACCGAACGTCGTCCCGGGAGTTGGAGAATTGTCTTGAGGAAACAACCTACCTGCGACGTCAGAAAACCGAGCGGACCCAAAATTACGTCGGAAAGCTTTCGCCACTGGCGTTAGAACGGGCCTATCCAAAACTGTGGGGAACGGGCCATGAGCTAAGTATGGATCGTTTGACACTCCCTCAAGGTACTTTACCCGACAAAAACAACAATCTCAATAACATACTGTGAACCAATCGAACGCTGCAGGAATCACCAGCTCATTCACAAGGACCTGTTGTTGAGACGGCGCCGATGAGAAAACAGGGTCGAGAAAACGTCGAGTTGCCAACTTTCGCCTCACACTTGTTGTGTGGGGCAACATGTTGAAAACCCAAGACGGCGTGCCGCGACTATCGAAATAAAGACGGAAAAATCTGCAAGGTAATCGGCAATACAATTGTACGATCCATTACGCCCGCTCTTTTTTCCCTGGAAGCACAAGTAGCGTATTCGTTATCGTTGCGCCCATAACAGCTGTCTGATGCTTGTTGGTTCTCTGCTGCGGCCTGTCTCATCTGTTTTTGCATTCCTATTTATGTATTTCTCTTGAAAAACACCAGCACTTTCTCCGAAAAAGCGTTGGACCTTGGTTACGAAATCATGGGCGGTTCATATATAGAAATACTGTACATCCATGACCGCAGTGGAACGCCATGACCCTATCAAGCAGAACCCTCGGGACACCCTCCGGCACCTCATGAACAACACTAAGTTTTCGCACCGGTGTTGACCACGCAGTTCAGCTGTTGGACCGGGGAGAGCATCCACTAAGGCCAGTCTTGACACCAGCATTTCCACAATCTACTCACAATGGGACAGAGACAGAGTCACGGGGGAAAACGGCGGAGAGGTGTGTGGAGGAACCTGTGCACCATGCAAAGAAGCCGATTATTATCCTGAATAGCGCGAACTGCGTAGCATCTACCATTCCGCCAGCATTGTCTTCTCTTTCCCGTACAGTACCACTCCATGGAAGTAGCACAAATTCACCTTCTTATGACGAGACGGATCTATTGGTCCGACCCGGCCCGCTAGGAACGTGTCTCCCCTGTGCCCCTCCGCATACCTCCGGTTGTGGTGCTGCACAATTTTCACGACCTGTGGCCATCATTCGAGTTACGTGAAATGAACAAGGGTAAGAATGTGTTGCCTTTGGCCGGGATGTTGAATCTTTGTTCCGAACATCCTGGAGCTTTTGGTACTTTCCCTCACGGTGAGCTCATTCGTTCGCCACGAATACATTGGTGTCCGAGGAGTCTGACGAAGCGCACGCCACAGCCGCCCGAGTTGCCAAGCGTAAACATGTAGAAGCATGAGACGTATGTACCTGTGCACTTCGAAATCGGAGACACCCTACCTCGAACTCGTAGCAGTACCCATGGTGAGCCCAGCACGCCTCCTGATCGCGCCCGACAAATTTGTAGCTGTAGCCGCAGCGCAAGACGGAGAGCATCAGCGGCACGCCGCTTATCACGGTTCCTCCGTGGTACACCGTGAGAACCTGCCGTGGACATTAGCATCGGTGGTGACATAACTCAATCTTGTTCAACAGCTTGTGGTGCAGGAGTTTCAACTTGTCATAATTCAAAAGCGGTACATACATGCTAGCTACGGTAGACCTGAGACTTACAAGATGTGGCACGGCAAACCTCGTAGTTACGCTGGTGTCTGGCCATTCTTTGCAGGTACCCAAATGAGCTAGGTCACAGTCTTAAATACATCGGCTGACGCGAGAAAGGTTTCAACATGTCGTCACGGAGGGCAAGCTGCCGACGTTTTCTTCACCATTTCGGAACTCGTACCCTGATGGAAACGAACAATAGCCTGCTTTGTGGCTAGAGTGTGGGCAACATTGCATTGACTTGGTGCGGGGAAGGGGTGCTGGTATTTGGGAAAGGTTCGAGCTTGCTGACATGAACCGGGCGTGGGCAAGGGACATGACATCCTAGAAAGCAGCATGTATCCAGCACTCGAGGGTTCTGCGATTGAACTTGATATTTAAATGTACAAGTACCTCCGGGCCTTCGAGGCGGTTTCGTTCGGCTTTTTCGGCCGCTCGCTTCGCCTCAAGCCTGCGGAAGCATCGCTGGACCACCTTTGCAGCCGACTGTGTACAAACAAGAACAACGAGAGTTGCGTTGGTTTCAATTCGTTGGGAGCCTAAGAGATGGGGCTCATATCGGGCCACAGGCGACCTTGCCTGACTCAAGCCCATCGGGCTCCGCGAACTAAACGGTGTAGCAACTACCGTCTTTGGCACAAAGGCAACATGTACCTTGACATACCCATACATCGAATCAAACAGATCTCACGATCTACAACACACCATTTCCTCGTACGAAGCACACCTTGGCACTGCTTTCGAACGAGTTTTTAGGTGTTCTTGGGTAATCCTATCGAAGACCATCGCTCACAGAATCTACAGTACCACCCCGAGGATGGTGCTTCCTTCGTTTCGAAACGGTTTGGCCGTGATTCTAGCTCGACAGTGCCCCCGAAAACGCTCCCTCCAACATATTCATGAACTGTATGCGTTGCTCTTCAGCGAAAGGCATCAAACGTAGAAGCATTCCACTTCGTTGAACCTCAAGCCTTCGCCTACTCATCAGAACGGTTACGATCTTGAAAACTGAGCCATAGGGAGGGGAAACGTGACCATACTCCGATAGTTGGAGTGAAAAATGTCTTCTAAAGAACACTTTGTGCAGTCCAATACCTTCAGCTCCGAAAGCTTGATCTGCAACTTCCGTCCCTTCCACGCCCCTTGAATACATCTGGCTGCATCGCTTTCCTTCTGCCGGAGAATGTCTTCTTCAAGGAGTCGTCGGCCTTGCTGTCGAACCTCTTCCATGGCCTTCAATGGTTTCCATGGTGTGATGTACTCGCGAGTGTAAGGATCGGGCTAAATGTACCGGTTTCCAAGGGGTGTCAGCATCAGTTGGAGTCGCGATTCACTCTCACATCCACCACATTGTACCGTTGACGACTTGACCGTCGGTCGCAATACTTCCTCACTGGACGTGTATTTGCGTATTTACACCCGTCGCGATGACAGAGCTATTCGCCTTAAGTACCTCGCGGTACCCGAACGTGTTCGCGGATTGACATTCGGCACGCACGTACCTCCAGGACGTCGTAGCAAACGAGGCGACATTTGGACCTTGCCAGCAGACCACCGAAGGCACGCTGCAACACGCGCGCCCCATCGTCTCTCGCCGATTTCTGCAGGTTATGCCCAAAACGATATATCCCCACCCGTAGCGTTAGAATTGGATGATTAGGCCATTTCATACGAACGCCTAGGAGAACAGGACTAGCTAGCCGGCGGGGTGTGAAATGACGGGAGTCATTCCGACTCTTCGACCATGAACCCCAAGGCTGCGTTATTCCTTCTTGATGTGCTTATGTACAAGCGTGGATGGAGGCTTGGACCGCAAGAGGTGGGTACACGAATAAGTTTTGAAAAGCACAACCGGCATTACTGCAAAGGGGCTGGATTATTTGCACATGGCTTACCTCTGCCTGTTGCTCTCTCATGACCTGCAGATACGGCAGCGCTATGGAGAAGTGGCCGAGTCCAGCGGAAAACCCTCCCTTGCGGCTGCGGATGCTTCTGCTGCTGCTGAACTTGTACCGGGGATCCTTGTCGAATTCCGGCAAAAGAACCACCTGAGACGGCCGAGAAAAATGCACGGTTGGTTCCATTGGGCATTGGACGATATCATGCCTGCGCCCCATGCGCAGAGGGTCGCCCAAAAGGCCCACGGCGAAACTGAGTAACTGTTTTCCCGGTTGAAGTGGTACATGGAACCCTTCTCGCCCCCCGGCGAACAGGACGAGCATAGCTGCATCACGGGTGCAAGGCAGGTTGTGGGTGGGTTGTGAGCATCCACAAGGTAGGTTGTTGAGGGGGGTTGGGAGGAGGCCTCAACCTTGGCCCAAACGGCTTGGTTGTACAAGGACGGATGCGGAAGGTTGGGAGGCAGCCACAACGTTAGGCCACACCTCTTCGTTGTGCAAGCACCGGTCACACAGGTTGGGAGGCAGCCACAACGTTGGCCATACCACTTAGTTGTGCAAGCACCGATCACACAGGTTGGGGGGCAGCCACAACTTTAGGCCAGACCTCCTGGTTGTGAAAGCAGATGATACAGGTTGGGAGGCAGTCACAACCGAAGGCCAGACCTCCTGGCTGTAGATTGTGTCGGTTCGACGGTCCGGAAAAAACTTCCGTTCGACTGTGGGTATATCTCGAATGGGTAGTCTTTCTGTGTGTGTTTTTATTATTCCTTAAAACTGGACTTCAGTGTACCACATGTACCATTTCTTTTTTTTTTCCGGCGGGACCAAACGCAACAAATTCGTCTCCAACACAGATATGTAGATATAAGAGCCCAGGACACGTTGGCACAATGCGTACTAAATGAACGCATACACTATTCAATTTGGGCTTTTGTGTGAGTGTGTGCGGGGATTCACGAGTGCTATGTGTGTACCACCTACATTGTGCAGGGTACAACAAGCTCTCAGATCAGATCCCGTTACAGATCCCGCCAGACAGGTGGGAAGAGGGGGTGGAGAGCATCCGAACCATCGAGCCCCCTATTGCATTTGCATGTGGCTTTGTTTGGCCCTGCATCGCCCCCGTGTGAAGAGCTAGCTAGCCTTGACACAGGCGACCAGAGGCCGCAGCATGCCAAGACGAATAGCGACCAAGCTGGTGTCATTCCTTTCGTAACCAAGGCAAACAGCTATGCCATCTCTAGATGCTCGGACTCGGGGCACAGCAACCACCGCGAGCTAAACCCGCCGCACGACACTGCTGCTGTAGAGCGGCAAGACGAGCTTCTACACGGCGCGCGTGGAGAACAGAGAGCGACATTCCGGCAGCAGTTGCTGATTAGGTAAGCGATTCCCCTCCAGTTACATCTGGATGGTAGCAATAGAAGGATGAATTGAGGGAATATTGTGTGTTGTGTGTATCTCTATGCATATGTCCCCGTTGGGAAGGGCGCGAAGTCTCTACTGTAGATGCATGTACGCTCAGACACCAGCAGGTGGTCCTGCACACCCAACGGCTCTCGGCCTACTGCGTGTGTGCGGCACTTCCTCACCATGTACAGAGCGGGGATTATCCCGGAGGCGTCAATAAGCGCCCAGCCTCATAAAAGAGCTTTGTGGAGGGCGGGTAGGCACTTAGTTATTTTCAACTGTTTTTTTTGTTTTTTGGGGGGCGCTCGTTTTCTTCAACAGTAACAACGTACAGTAACAACGTACAGTAACAACTCCGCATGTCTGCTGCTGTATCTGACCTGTCCACACACATGCATAGCATCGACCGCGTCGACCGTCCACATGCTTCAACCAACGCCCAGCGCTCATCACACCCAATTGTTTTACATGGGTTGCTCCATTGACACAGGTCGTTCACACGCGTGCAAAATATATCGTGTTCAAAGCAAGAATTAACGGTAACCGTAGGTTGCACAAGATACCACACCCCCTTGACCAAGTTTCAACCTATCATGTTCCACGACGAAGATGATTCCGAAAATCAAACGATACTTTTCGAAAAGCTCTCCACGAGAAAGTTCCAATGCAGCCATTTCTGGCCTCGCCACTCCTTCTGGCGTGGAATAATCAGGCGTGGTATCTTGTGCAACCAACTGCTGTGCTGTGAGATCAGTGGATTCGATTCTCCTCTGCGCCATATTTTTTCTCTTTCTTTTTCCTCCGGAATTTCGATGTACCCCTTTGAAAACTTTATTGGCCGTAAAATACAAAATACCAAGTAAACTCCTTGAGAAAAGGCGGGCGCAGCGGGTCCCCCCGTGCCGCGCCACTGATGCGAAACGAAGAGGGCACCAGTAGTATGCATAGCAGAGCGAAGGGATATGCATGTGCGTCTTCATATAATTGCGTCTCCCCCACTCCGCCCCCCCCCCCCCCCTTCTATCGTACTATGTAGGCGGTTATCGCCATGAGTGGGCTTGGTACCGTCATGTTCTCGAACGTTCTAGGGCCAGCCAACCACGGCATTCCCGTGTCAGAGGAGGAGGCCATGCAGAGCGTGACCTTCAATCAGGTCCACCGATGCAAGCGCACCACCCCATAGCTCAGGTCCGGTCGGGTTAAGTGAACTCTCCGCAGAAAGTGCGAGATTTTGTTCAGAAATGGTGCCCAGTGATTTGAAAAACAGAGTATGATGGAAAGTTCATGTCCGACCCGCGACACCTCTGTCCACCGAGAACGATGAAGGTCTGCTACGGCACCTGCTGTCAGAGTCGTGCATAACATCGTCGATCACTCCGGCATAGCTCCACGCAAGTTTTGAGTAAATCGCTCCTATTTGAATGTGAACCGGAAGGAACGATGGAATACCTTCTGTCGAGAGCTGTTCATTCGTTCATTTATGAGACTCAACCAAAGCGTATGCATACAATAAAGGGAAGGAACACAGGCAACTATTCGTCGCGATGCATTGCTTGTGGAAGGAGTAGAGAGTTTTGACGCACGCGCACCGGTACTGCTGTTGGTTTGAGGGTCTCACATGTTGTAGCGTTAGCTTATGGTGCAAGACAGAAGGGCGTCGCAAGGTGAACCGATAGTGTGCAATTAGCCAACATCTCATGATGCCAAGCAATAGCGCCGGGGACGAAGAGTTATTGTCCTTGAAATGTTAACGCCGCTTCCCTGTGGTTATGACGCTTGAATTTTTTTATCCTCATGCACGTTTTTACAGGGAGGATAGCAGCTGCTGATGTCCTGTTCGCCCTCCTGCTTGCTGTTTCCGGCGCAAATTCCAGGCCATGTACTGTCACCCTTGCTCTGGTGCATCCATCCATCCAGCCCCTTGCCCGCTCAGCACCACTCCCCCCCCCCTCACGGTATCGATTGGCGTCGTTCGAAGGTACTCGAGCAGTACGTCCTCACGGATATCAAGACGAAGGTGGGCAGTACAGGCTACACTTCGGTAACAAGAGCGACCCCGACCACGACGGTATTGCCGTACCTTCCCCGTGTGCGAGGCCTTTTTCGAAAAGGCGCGTTTGCTGTGAAGGGCGGCGGCCGTGAAAAAACTTGGACGTCATCTGCGACATGTACGTTGCCTTTGTTGATATGTGAACTAAGCTCTACGGGGCTGAGGGTTTTTGTTGTATTTAGCGTATTCTTCTAACCCCGTCTCCCCTGGTGTACTGTCGGCAATTTGTCAGGCCGATAAGCGCTCATTGGACGTGCAAGCTCTGCTGAACGTCCAACACTCTCGTTTATTTTGTTCCTGACGCGTTTCCAGCCTTTTCAATCACTTTCCCACATTTTCAGCGTCCCCTGACGTTGCTCCTAGGCAGTCGACGCGCGGGTGGTTTGTCGCAAGCTATTTATGTATGAACCCGTGACGTCAAACAAACTGACATTCACATGGAACGCTATTTGTTCTTTGTTTCGTGTCTCAGGTCCTAGGAGAGCTTCCTGCGGTTCGGCTTGGAATACGTTGGGCCGATCCTCGCCGCCGAGAGTATTGATCGTCAGGACGATGCTAAGCGCTACCTCAAGCCGTGCTTGTTCGCGGACGAGGGGGCAGGAGGTGGAGGAGGTGACCCAGGGGCGGATGGGGGTGGAGGGTAAACTAAAGATGGAGACGGGGATGTTCTTCGTCTCCGAGCGAGAAAAGCGATGGTCCTGATGACTACGCTGGCTACAAAGCCTTGGCGGACACCTAAACCGTGTTGACAAGGTATGTCATGTGTCTTGTCCTTTCCAAAATCGTGCCTCTCTTTCTGCCTCTTTCTCTCTGCCTGCGATGATGTTGGATGCTTGCGTGTTTCTTGTCGTGCATCCGTCATGCCCGCGGCTCCCTATAATGTACACCCTTCCTCATCCCAGCGTGTCCGTTGGCGACCCCTGATGTTTGAATGTACCTCGCCTCCCTTCAATTTAGTTCTGCCGGGTTGCGTAGCTTATCCTCGTCTCTGACGTATTCTACGACCTGCGTTTATGCTGTCGATTTGTGTCCCCCCCCCCCATGCCTGCTTGCAAAAATTGTTGTTGACAATGTACATCTGTCAGCTATACCAAGAACTATACTGCAGCAAAGGGGGAGAGCATGCCCTCCATTCCTCGACGGCCCACTATTACCTTCCTCTCACAATTCAACATTATTCGCTGCTGATCGGTAACCTCCAGGTCGAGTCGCCGGGGCCTCCGCTGCAACATCGTTCAAAGCGTTTTCTCGGGTCCTCATGACGTTCACAACGGGTGGAAGCTTTGACGGAGGAGGCGGAGAAATATCCCGCTCGCCATGTCTCATAGTTTTTTTTTTCATCATATGGTGCTATGATACGCTTGTTGCTCTCGCTGGTGCATGAGGGCGCCTGGCGCGGGATGAGAGCCAGGTGTTTTCTTACTGTGTCTGCAAGGGCGTTTGGAATCTGTCGCTGGAGCCTCTTGGCTTTGTCCGCGCCGTTTTTTGTCCGTTCAAATTGTGGCTTTTTTTGGGGAGGGGAGGGGGGAGTTGTTTCGATGGTGTTGGGAAAGTAGAGAGGTCTATTTCTGCAGTCTCTGCATTGTTTTTGGGGGACACCGCTGTCGCAGCTGACTCCGTCTCAGGCAGTGACGTTTTTTCTTGACTAGAGTTAGTTGTACAATTTGGGGCGGCCAGGGTGGGGAGGGGTTCTGTGTTTTGTGTCGGGAGAGACGGTCGTTTCTACCTGTGCGTTTGGATAACACTGCTGCCGCTACGTGTAGCTGTTGCCTCCGGCTGAGTTGTGTTTCCTCACAACAAACAAAGGTAGTTTATTGCGGGGATTGTGGGTCGTCTCCATGATCGACGTCGCTGACGGTCATGGGCCAGGGCATGCTGTTGGTGTGGGGGGACATTCAATACACAAAACGGCGTTCGAAAGGGTATGTTTGTATTGTTTAAATTTGGAGTACCTTTCATGGTTCTCGCTTACATGTATTCGTGCAACTTGGGGATGTTGACGACCCTGGGTCGAGATGATAAGCCGCGGGCGGAGATGGGTTTAAGCTAGAGCTGGCAAAAATGCGTATGATGCATGGGCACGGGATGTCGTTGTTTCAGGAGTTTGCTCGGGAATGTACCGACGGTAAAATTGTAGTGATTCGAACACAGGGGGCGAAAAAACAAATGAAACAATGAACAAAAAAAAACGTAATGCAGGGGAATTGAACCCGCCACTACGGTGTTGAGCACTGCTGTTTGTTGTAGACCGGCCGCATTGTGCACAACCTCTATGAGAGGGTACGCGTTACAATACGCAACCTGCCCCCTACCGGCTTGTGCGCAACGCGCCAACCTGCAAGAGAGGGTACACCTTACACTATTACCGGCAACCTGCCCCCCAAACTCCTTTCACTGCCCCCAGAGGAATCGTCTTGTGCTTTGAAAGCTGGATTCAAATAATGGGAGGAATATGCATAGTATTCTTGAAAGCCAACGAACGTGTAGACGACGAAACGGAACCTGCAATGTCGTTGGATGTTGAGAAAGAGAAATCATCATGAGTGCTGTACATTTATGGCATAAATGACGGCCCTAGGCTCACAGAAAGAGCGAAGCCTACTCATTTATGAGGTAACTAATATTTACATGAAGCTGACGCACCTTCCCGATGAAATATTCGCTGACCATACGAAACGGCTCCTTGGCTTCGACCAATTCTCGTGGACGACCATCGGCTACTTGTTCCTCGACGGCAGCGACGAGCAGCCGTTCCATCTTGGCAACCGGAATAAGGTGACCGTGAAAATTGGTTTGTCGGTGACAACCAAACGTGTTGAGTTGAAAAGAAAGTTCAGAGATTATATATGAACCACGTGGAGCTCCCAAAAATGGGCGTGCCAACGATCACGTACTACCTAACGGCTGATGAGACGTAACGCTTTACAAGTCGGGGGTGTGACCGTTCATACGACACCAGTCGTGCAATCGCGTCACGGCCGAGCTGATGGTGAGCTTTGCCGAGTTTGAGAATCGTCGTGTGGGCATCTTGACATTAGGGCATTAAACTGCGATACGACCAGCCCCATGCCGAGCTCCTGCAATTGATTGGTGAATCTTGAACTAGGAAAGCTAGAATACGGGAGGATCGATCGGCGTGAAGAGAACTGCTACACGGAGATAGAAAAATATACAAAAGTCTGATTTCTTGAGATGTGGCTCGGCCCCGAGGGAGAACATTTAATGAAGCGTAAAGAACCGCTTGGAAATAACCAGTGGTTGGAGTTGTTGGAGTCCGGTAATCTTCGAAACCAAGTGGACGATACAACCGCCAAAGTACAATAGCACATCTATGCAGCAACAAGGCAGACATGGGTTCCGCAAATAGGCATATTGTCTTGTGAATCGGGTACCATCGTTAGCGCTGCTGTCACGATATATCTGCACGGCAGTTGGGGGCGGTGCGGTATGAAGAAGTCTTACATTGAGCCCATAGGTCCCAGGTATCAGGCTATGGTGTGAAGGTGTGGATACTTCATGCATGTGTACAGGTACCCTTGGATCGGGTCAGGTTGGTAGCTGAACAGGGATTGTGCACATGTGGTCAACAAAACTTACCATCACGGCGTAGTACATGAGGATAACGAGCTTTTTTCTGGCTCTATGTTCCACATTTCACAACGCTAAGAGCTCATTCTGCACCGTGTAGAACAGGAGAAGGTTATCGTTCAAGAAGACAAATCTCTTCTTCGATGAATGCCTGCAGCTTGCGCTGGGAACTGCTCAAATCACCTCGGCCTCATGGATGATAATCGTGGCGGACCCCCCTGCCCCCAGTGGTGAGCTTGTTTCCGTGGCTCGTCTGATCGTACCCCCATCCTTGATCAGTGGTGTTTTTTCGCCCTCGTTCACAGTGGTACCAGAAAGAGAACCACCGGCCCCTCTCGGTGGACTCAAACCACCATCCCCAGTGCAAGCACCACCCACGATATCATCGACATCGCGTCTCTCATTGACCCTTAGGACCAGTTTTGTCCCGCATCGCCACGCGGTCGCGGTAAGGCGAAGCGAAGTCTGGTGGAACTGTGCTGCAACTGGCTTCGGCAAGGAAACGTTGGTGCCATTTCCGGTGGCCTCCACGTTCTTGTCGGTGACCCTTGCTCTCGTTCGAATCGCCAGGGCCTCTGGAGGTTGGCCCTACCCAGTAAAGGCGGTCGGCGGGTCGGAATGGGATACGTATGCTTGCGGAATAGGCTTCATCTTTGCAACACAAGGCTGAATACCAACCCCCTCACAGTAGCACGTACTTGTCGAGACGAGGTAACCATTGCGAGGAAATGTTCGGAGCCAACATATGGCATGCCCGACTTCTCCCTCGTGAATACATGTGCATCCTTCGACGCGATGACCACACCGGGAGACCCGTGATGCGATATGCAGGGTCGACATACACATTTGACGACGTCGTCCTCGCTGGTGAGCATGTCCAAGAAATACGTCATGGTTTGAACATTTAACGCGGTACAGGGTAGATCATCTTGCGGGTAGGGCCGAAGAAGGCTGAACCATGCCAACCCCCGAGCGTCACTTCCCACACTCCGAGCGTGGGGTTCTTCGTGTCGATGGGATGCTTTCTGAACTCAACCTCCGAGATCGACGCCAGAAATATAATTAATCTGATATCTTCATCCAGGGTATACGCCAGAGGCTGCAGACGTTTGCCCGTCTTCGTGTGTCGGGGAATACCACACACAGCCCGCTTGTGGTTTGCTAACCTTGATCCGTACAAAAGCGTTCAATGCGCATTGTCAAGGCTTCCCGACTCGTCGGGAAATATATGCATTGCAGTCGGAAATGTATTCATTGCATGGAAAATCAAGCGTAATAAATTCGTACCTCAGCCTGCGAAATGGGCAATTTCGACGCGCTTCCCTCTACCGCCGCTTCCTCTCGGCCCCCGCCATCACTACCGGCGCTTTGTCCCAAACGGTGGAGAACTGACCCAGATCCAAATTCCTGCTGGGGGTGCTGGGGCGTATCTTGTTCCTGCGGCGACTGATATGCGGATTTCTTGCCGCCCGCATCGCTTCTAGCAGCTTCTAACATAAATAGGCCAGCAGCTCTTGGGCTCCTGGGACTGCTCCTGGGGCTAATCCGCATGATAATCTTAGTTCCCTCGCGAACAGCGGTGACGACCCGATTCGCGATCCGCCGGGCTACATGAGGCCGCTTTGGGCTTGAAGGGGTCAAGATTTTTCCGAGAGGGGTGTCGACAAGGATGGACTTTAGGAGCTGCTTCGTTTGGCGTTGCTGTTGTTCCGGTTCTTGCTGTTGTTGCCGTTGCTCTTGTTCGTGCTGTTGCAGTTGCCAGTCTTGTTCGTGCAATTGCTGAATGTGTTGTTCGTCTAGGTTTTGACGCTGGTGTTGTTCCTCCTTCTGCTGCGGCTGCCGTTGCTGCTGCTGGTCTTGTAGAGACCGTGCAGCAGGATCAGCCGGCAGACCAGACAACCCTCGAGGAGTAGATGTCTCGTCCCCAGTACTCTCGCCCTTCTCGGCTGTAGGAGGTTCCGGGTGTGGTGGGAGCTTGAGGCGCAGAGGACGGGTCGTCAACAACCTTGATCGTACCCGATAGAAGGAGCTGAATACACGCTCGGAAGCTTTTATCTGTCATAGCACACAATACGAGAACGGTAGGGAGTCACCTGTGATTTTTCGAGTAAGAAACAATGGTGTTCCGCGGAAACAGTTTGTTGTTAGGTCAAGAGGAAGGGCAAGCAGATCATAATCGACCTGGCAGTTGGCAGGACAACACACTCTGAAAATCCTGTCTGGTTCTTCGGCTCATACGCATTCATGTTGCGCGGAATACTCACCTTGGAGGCTTGTTGTTACTCCGGAATTTAAAAATATGTTTTCGTTCGGCGCGACTATGGGATTGAGACCAGGATGGGGAGCAAATATCGGCGGCGGCCGTTCGCAACCCACGCGTTTGAACAAATTGCAACTGACAGACAAACACACCTCTGGCAGCTCAAAATTGGTGTCCAGTTGCATTGCTATCGAGAAAAGCCTTTCCGTGCGTCGGTATGCCGCCAGCGTCTCCGACCTGCTCGCCATCGGGGTAAAAGAGTGGCATTGGGTGGGGAAAAAAGGTAAGCGAACTACTCTGATTGATGTCTCCAACCCGAAATTCTGCTGAGAGCGCTCCCGGGGGGCTACATGAGTACACGACGTAAGACCTTGTGTTCTCTTTGTTGCTTAGGAACAAGGCGGGCAAATAGGCTACAAAACACGAACCGGATGCCCTTTCCAGTCCCCACTGAAGGGCGGTGGTTGTGTCTGGAGCGACGTTTACGCAGCTTCAAAGTAGAAATAGTGCCAGAGGTTTCTGCTACCGTTTCTGTTCACTGCCACAGTTCACATGGTAGAGCTGTTAGGCTCCGAACACTGCCGTTTTCTCCAAGTTCCGCCACTACGTCTTTTGCTTTTCGTCATATTGAAACGTGCGCACCATGTTCGTTTGAAACCATATAATAGGTATGAGTTATCAATAGTTTCGTTTAGCCCTCCTCGACATGAGTCCTATTTAGCCTGCCGCGAATCTTGGAGGAAAAATCCTTGGCTTTCGTTGGCATCCGCTTCGTAGGCGGAGAGCTTGTCCATAGGGACTCAAACGGGAAAATCGTTGGCTTGCTCTGGCATCCGCTTCGTAGGCGGACGCCAGCGAACGTCAACGATTTCGTTCGTGGCCCAACGATAAGGCGTCCGCCTACGAGCGGATGCCAGCCAAGCCAATTTCCGTTTGAGGCCGAAAGAATTAGCCGTCCGCCTACGAAGCAGATGCCAGCTGACACCAACAATCCCGTACCTTCTTAGATCCATGTCATGATTTCCGTTCGCGATTTGGCTCCAAAGCGCGACGTGGAACGTGGCGACCGCAGCTGCCTTTCTGCAAACGGTGACGTCCTCGGGCTCGTCTTCGTCCTCCTCTTCCTCGGGCCCAATCTCTTGCACCTGCTGGTAGGGATCAAAGCAAGGGCAATCGGCACAGTGAGTGCTGTGCGCCTTTTGAGGAGGTTTCATGTGACGACGCATCTGCCAGAAAAAGCCACGCTAGCAAATCTCGCTTTTCTTTCACACGATCATTCAATGTGGCGCACGTCGCTCGTTTAATCTCCACGTGCTGCTTCACTCCTGCATATACGCTACCGTAGAAACCATTGTGTATCGACAGGAGCTTGAGAGGTTTTTAACAGATAGGGTTAGACAGCATGAGGTGCGAACCTTCTTGTCTTTCTGCTCCTCCTGCTCGTCATCGGTCTGTTGCTCTCTCTCGCCTCCCGATCCTCCCGCAATTCTTTGAGTAAGCCCCCCGCTTGCGCCCTTGCCTCCGTTCTTTGCACCGCCTTTGGCGCTCAACTCTTTGGCGTTTCGCTTTTCAGCAAACGCGGCGTCTCGCGCAACCGCTGCTTGTGTCTCTGCAAACAACAGTCGTCTCCTCGCTATCCTAGTCGCGGCTAAGAAGTACGCTTCCACCTTTGCCGAACATTGAAGATCACCAGCGTCGAAACGTGACATGCAGAACAAACTTTTTGTGTTTCGATGAATGGTTCAATAACATAAACACGTCGCCGCCGGTGACATGCAGCCGCCAATATTGTCCGTTCGTACAAATATCTGGTGTAGCTCTACCAACGTTGCAGGAATGGAATGAGGGGCTCTTCACGATCCAAGGAGAAAACAAGTCTTTCAGCGTTTGGTCCTGTAGCTTGATCGTGGCCAATGTGCAAGCATTGTCATCAAAAAGTCACGCATGTATGAGAAAAGAGGAGAAGCGAGAGGACGCGAGAGAGAGAGAAAGAGAGAGAGGGAGAGAGCGATTGAGAGAAGTAGAGCAGAGAACGACAAAGCGATAAGACACCTCTGGACTTTTACAAGCACAGAGCATTTCCCACCTCTTGGTAGGACCGCCTGTCGGGATCCTGGGCCCAAGCTTCGGCGAGGAGACAAAAAGAAGCTTCGAGCATGGCCTCTGTTGGAGCGGAGCCACGGCCGTCGGTGAACCATGTCGCCTGTTCGAAAGTTACGCAATGATTTGGAAACGTAGCGCACAATACTGTTCTGTGCGTTCAGGATAAGGTACGTCTTCCCCAATTCGTGTCGGTTGTACGCCAAGCTCGAGTAGGTCTGGACTGGGCGGCACCGTACCGTTGCATGCTTCCAAGGCCACAAAGATGACTGATGCTCACCAACTCAGTGTACTCGCCTGCATGGCTATAGAAGCCCCGTAGAGTAAGGCCGCCGAACTCGGAAATCGCCGAAGCCCTTCCTGAAAAACCTCCAGGGCATCGCCGTATCCCCTGGTTCTGTTCTTTTCACGGATCCGTGCCCTAGCCCTGGCGCCACCAAAGTCTTTGATTGTCGATGGGCCCCCGTTTCCACCCGAACGACCTTCTGCTATTGCTTCCTCCGCCGCCTCGTCGAGGGCTCCACTACCCGCGCCGACAAGTAGACAGTGTCCATAACCGACGTAATACTGATCGGACAGTAACGCTTGAGATTCGACGACTGGCCCAGCACGGACACAAGAGATGGCAAGGGCCGCAGCGGTGACGGGTCTATCAGCAGCAGCACTATCCCCGCCACCACCGCTGCTGCCACCAGCATCAGGAGGACCTCTGCCGCCACGGCAACCTGGACTAGCAGAACTACCAATCGCGCACGTCTTGCATTCTGTTGGAACTCCGCCGTCTACATTTGCGGGGTAGCGGGGAGGCGACCCCTTAGGAGAAGGGCGGAGAACCTGCTGCGGCTGGCACGGGTAATGAAAGGCGCCCCCAAACACGCCGCCAGCAAGGGTACCAGGTCGTGGTGTGCACGCAGCGATATCCCCTGTGGGAGAAGCCTCGTTGGGCGTCGTTTCTCCGTCGGCCATCCGGCTTTCTTGTCGGGAACTCTGTCCTTCACAACTTGCACATGTTTCCTTCAAACAGTTTGGATTTGAGGCATCAAAACGTGCAGCAAAACCCTCCGGAAGAGCCGGCATGAGGACCGACACACCGAAGAGCGACACCGATGTTGAGCGAAGTCTCGGTGTCCTCGTCTGCGCGTTCTTAGTCCACCCTTTTCGTCCCGTGTAGTCTAGGCATATAGCTGTGGTACAGCGACGAGTTTTTTCAGGGGAGACAAGCAGAGGACAGTGTTTTGGGGAGAAGCATGGAAAGAAACACCAATACAACGTTGAGAACCAGGTTCACTTCAGAAAGCAACACACATGTCCCTACGCTTGCTGAGACTTAGGGTCAACTCCAGCACTCTCGATCACGTTCTGACTGCCGCAAAAGGGATGGGGTGTTGTGTACCCGTAGGCACGAGACAGCGTAGGCCTGCTCCAACGGCTCGTGAGATAGGCCGGAAGTCGTTTTGAGAAACACAAGCGATGGGGTTTTCTAGTCGAGTCTTGGACCCTTCCTGTACAGCACAAGCCCACTTCCCACTGCATCACCTTGCATCGAGTTTTTCTTCGTGTCCACGCGACCCCCTGTAACTGTGTTCTAGCTAGGCTAATTGTGCTTGACCTGCCACCCCACACCTTTGAGAACCTTCTCTTCCATGGTTTGGTCTAAGTGGAGCACGCGGAATCGCCTCCTGGCGGCAGAACCTCTCCAGACAGCTTGGACTCGCGTCGCCCCCTGAATGGCCGCTACGAGATGAAGCTGCTCCATCCACCTGTCGTTTTGTAGTTGTGATTCGTCATAGCTTTCACGTTGCCCGGAAACTGGACCATCCGCTTAGAAGATGTCGACGAGTACGGAACGCATTCTACTCTGTGGGCAGAGATCCATGGTCACCAGAGACGCAGTGCTCAGGCACGCGTACCCCACCCATCGAAGGGCCGCCGCCACACTTGCCCCGGTGATTTATGTTCGCAGGAGACGACGTAGATGCCACGCTTAGGGGTGCCAGTGCTACTCCCAATTTTCGCGTCTTTTGAAGCCGGGAAAGTAGGAGACATGCGCCTTATGTCACTGATGATTATGAGTTCATCGCGCCCCAACGGATTTCTTGGATATTGAATGCACATAGTTTACTGCAGTACCTCCTTGCTGCACGTGTTCGGAAGTGCCTCTGGATCTTCGCCGCTGCCGCGTTGTGCCAGTTCACGCGTAGCCGCCTGGCCTCCTGCCGGCCTTGGAACCCTCGACCCAAAGCCGTTATCACCGTAGCTGCTCGTGCTCTTTTCTCCAATAAGGCTTGCACAGCACGGACCTGTTAATGCCCATACGACGATGGTAAATGGTTGGCGCGTTGGCGACGCCCGGTGCTATTGGGGAAGCTGTACCAACACCAACCCCGCTCTCGTGCGGTTCGCACCACGGGTTCATGCCAATGAAGACCTTCAGATCATGGACAAAAATATTGGAGGCGTGTCCAGAAAACAAAGCAGGCGAACTAGGAGAAGCCGCGACGATGGGGAGCATTCTGAAGTCTCTGTTTCAATGACCACTTGGAGAAAAAAACATGGCGAAAGTCCCAGCAGCACCTTCCCACGCCAGCCCCGAAAGATCCGTTGAATCCTGGTGGCAACCGCGTGGAGGCCGACGCCACCTTCTGTCCAGAACGCCGCCCGAGCGAGGTATCCCCGCCACGCACGCTGAATCTGCGACATCAATAGTTTGATATTACGACAGCCGGGATTACTGTGCGACAAAACAGCAGACTGATGGGGTTTTCAGGTAATATAGGTTTTTCTGGCCTGACCAATGACGTATGGCGTATCGTTCGCGTGAACCCCTGTTTAACACCCTTCGGGAGAAGGACGGCAAGGCGGTAAATGATCCCACTCGTAAGCCTCCGAGTGTTAATGCCAGTTCTTCTAATCCCGATCGCTGTTTTTTTCCGCGCAGTACCGAATGTCCGGCAATGTTCCACCTGATGATAGTTTTACCTCAAGGGCCGCGTGGTGTAGGTCCCAGTGCTGCTGTTGCTGATGGCGATATAGTTGCCATGCTTGCCTCTCCCCCGATTGATCCGGCTGCTGTTCCTCTATCGTGACACCATCCTTCGTGCGCCAAGGCGGTTTCAGCGGGGGCCTCCAAGGGAGCTCAACTCTCGATGGTAACACCTTCCCTCGAGCATACCTAAAAAGTCATCAAATAATATGCATAGGTCTCAAAGAAGTGCAGCAAAATAACGAATGGGGCGCTACACAATGCGTGACACACTGTCGTCTACATTCAAGTTGAGAACAGGGGCATGACAGCGAGATGGGTTATTGTACTTGGTCCGTTGGGCTCTCTCTCGCGACGGCGTACTTTTGTAGTTCATGTGTGTCCACCTCCACCAAGCGCGCCACGTGGGCGTCAGAGTATGCCAGGGACGGAGCCGCAGGGGGGGTTGAGCTATTTCATGGTGTTTCAACCGCTCGCCAGGCACGAAGTTTACGCCGTAAAACGACCGTCAGGATTTTCTTGAGAAAACACTGCGGCCGACATCAAGGAGATTGCTGACCAAGTGAGTTTGTCCCCGCAGGTCGGCCCAGTATGACTGTGTTGCTGCACGTTCCCTAGTTAACGTCGTGCCGACCGCCTTCATTGTGCCAACAGCCTTCATCTACAACATCGGGTGTACATGACGAGCGAACAGCGGTCTATCGCAACCTTTCCCCGACAGCATTCCGGTGTTTTAATACGAGTATCGGCGTCGTGGCGAACGATGTTGCCAAGAATTGTAGATTTGTCGAGCCAAATTGTACCTGGAAACGTTGAACCGGGATGATCCTGAGGCCAGAACCACGGCTTTCGCGGCGGCTCCAAAGTCCATCTGATGTGCCTCCCCGGGAAGGGCCATCGGTATTACGACGTCTCTAAAGTTCTGCTTTGTCATCGTCGACATCGATCTCGCCCCTTTGATCATTTCTGACGCTGGCCATGTAGCAAAACGTCCCCCAGCGTCGCTACCGTCCGCGATATGCGGGTCGTTTTCTCCCTCGTTCTCCTCCTCCGCCTCTAACCCTCTGCCAGACCTAATAGCAGCACCTCCCCTAGTTTCGCGCATGTCTTTTGTGTTCCTTTGAAGTATCGCTCCCTCGTTGCTTCCATTTGGGGCCTTCCCGCCTTTACCTTCTAACGCCGCCATCGTAGTCCCCCCATTGGTCACTTGTTTACATCGGCTTGAGCTACCAAGGATCGCCGATGTCATTTCAGAGTCACCATGCCCTTTCGCCACTTTCGGCCCACCTATCGGCTCCAACGAAGGGGAAGCAGGACTTCTGACGTCCATGGCTGACGGTGTTGACTGTAACGGGTGATTTTCCGATATTGACGCCGTTGGTCCTCGGTACTCGTACATCAGTATGTCGAGGGATGGGCTACAAATGGCAGTGCCGTGAGGGGAACCATCGATGCCGCACCCGCTTGGCGCGTCGCCAAGCCTCTCACCACGATCCTCGCAAGCGTCTTGCCGCTGTTGCTTCGATTCCACAATACTTTGACAGGAGGCGCGTCCAGCTCCAGGTTCGGTTGCAGGCTGTAGGGAATCGGCGTTCCCGTCGAACGGTATCGGTTGGAGCCTGAGCTTTGCAGCAAGTGATCGCCGTGGCCTGTCATGTGGGGGAGTGGTCAAGGTAGTTCGCGCAAGTGGGTTGTGAGCTATTCTCCCCCCCCCCCCCTAGTTTGGCATTGACGGCCCAACGTTGACTAGTGCTGCCACTGCCACGGTCGCTCGCGGTTCCTCACACCAGCCAGATGTACGGACACTTGCCTTCTCAAAACCTGAATGTACCAAGTCTGTACTGCTGTGGGCATGATTTCCAGGCACTCGAGCTTTCACCTTTTTGGTCTTAAGGTTGCGGGTAAAAAACCTTCCACGTAGTCTGGCTCGACGACCATAAGCCCTAACGGAGCACATCGGTGGACCCGCTTGGCAAGAGCAGCGTTTGGAGTCTGTCGATGGTTGCCCACCCGTCGTCTGCAGCCATCGGTGACTTTCTGATCTAGGCTCACCTCTCCCACCATGCTCTGAATGAAAAAATCCTTAACAGTTTTTATAGTGGGCGTACCATTGCCGCCAAGGGCGATATTCAGGGAAAGTGGCGGCTCGGACTCCGCAGATTCCACCTGCTGAGCATGCGAATGCATTGGTAGGACATACTATAACATGGGGCGTCTCGACGAAGTAAAGAACACGTGGAATTCTTACCCCGGTATGGACAACGTACCAAAGTGATATTTCTCAGACACCCAACAGTAGGAGGAAGTCACTGCTACAGTCGAATGCGCCGCGCGGAGCAAGAGAGCACTGCCAGCTCGCGCCAATGCATGATCGGAAAGCCTGCCTAGTCTACCGTTGACGGTTGAAGGTGGTGCTCACCACAACTTCCCACGCCGCGACGTTTTCGACGGTAGAAGCAACGTGGTGGCGGGGTTCCCAGTAAAGTTCCCTGTTGGGCTCTTGTTGATATTTGAACCTCGTAGCCTGGATTCCCTCCGAGGATAAGAACGACCGTCCACCTCCCGAGTTCGTGTGCCAAACACGTAGCCGAAACGATGAAAACATCGACACACCTTTCTGATTAAAAGTAATTACGTCTCATTTCTGTAGGAGGATCTTTCAAGTCCATAAGAATCTTCGATATCCAACGGATGATCGACTCCCTGCGCCAATCATGCAACGAAAAATAACAGTGACGACAATAGTTTATATCACAGAGAACGGACAGAACCATGGACAAGAGGCACGGAAGATGCCGCCAAACTGCCGTTTTGCCTCACTGGCCACTAGCCATTTGGGATTGGGGGGGGGTGGCGTGATGCCGCAAAAAAAACGGTCGAGAAAAGGGAGTTTCCATCCAACAATGCTGGCACTGGCCTCATAGATTCCGAAATCTGTGCGCAGCCAAGCACTTCGTGCATCAGGGTGTCTTAGACTCCACGTTGTCGATCCTATTCGACGCAATAGACTACACTAGTGTGGAACACAAGCACATGGTGCTGAGTTGGGGGAGTGTACGGCGATGTTGCTCCTGACGAGATGTACAACGACGGCATAGACTACAGTAGACCAAGTAGACAGACAATATCTGTGGGTGTGGGCATGGGACGAGAAGACGGCGTGACATACAGCTGCGCGGTACATTTCACGAAGACTCGACGTGTACTTCATTTCATGTTTTTCTGAGGATCGCGAACTGCTGTACAGCAGTAGTCTATGTACATGTGCTACGTATGCACTGCCGCCTTGTTGGAGCGCATCACACCTGCCACGCCCGGGCCGCCCAGTTCAACAGCTTCCTTGGAAGCCGTGAGATCCGTGCTTCCTGCCTCTTGTGTGCATTGTTTCTTGCAGGTTTCCTTGTGGTGTAGCTCTGCTTGCTCTCCCAACTCTGCGCGAACCGCGAGCGGCAAGCGACATGCAAGCGACGCTGCGCGCGCTGTCGCACTGCCGCTCTGTGAGTTTCGCCGACGGCCCAGTTCCGCCGCGTCCAGTTCCGCCGCTCACGCACCCTTAGACACGCCGCACCCCGATGAAACCGCGGCTCTCCCTCCTTCTATCGCCACTCACCACACACGCGCCCAACTGTTGTTGCCGCCAGGTGAGTACACGATGAGGATCGATCAGGTGCGGTAGGCTTCTGCTCGAGAGGACCGCTCCGCACCAAACCAATACTTAATTGACATGCCGCCAGCATCGAGACGTGACGATCCGCAGGTTCACACGAGGTTGCCAGGCAACGACCTGTCGGGCTCGCGACATAGACTTAACTTTGGAACGTAAAACTGAGATATGAACGCAATGCATCGAACCCTTCGCAACCATGCCCAAACGGGTCTCCTTTCCTGCTACACGTCATGCACTGCGTGTAAGAGGTGATGGCGTACACTCCCTCTGGTATTACAGTATTTACACAACAAGGGGCCTGCCGACCATAAAGATCCTGGTCAAAGAATGTGTGCACCTACACTTCATGCATCCCATATTCTGGCACCAGGCTACACATCTTGCGGTACAAGACGTGTCAGCCGGGAACACGCAGGAGGGATGCCATACAGGATGTTTGCTTTTGTATTACCCCTACCTTTCTCCGGCCAAGACTAGCTACAACACATGTACATACACAGGTCTGGGCTGTGCTTGCCTCGAATATATAGTTGTCATTCGGGAAGGGGATCCAGCCGCCCCTTTCCCTCGTCGACCATGTGACTCACGAAAGTTATCGCCTTCCTTCTACTTTGCAGTACAAGTTGCAAGAAAAAAGAAACAGTCTGAAGAGAATTGAACACACAACCTGCTATTACTGCGAGGATGACCACTGTAGACTACCGGGGCGACCAAAGTGGGTATTCAAGAAATAGTCGAAAGCAATTTGTTCTTTTTTCGTTTTCGTCCAGTGTTGACTCAGACGACAAATCAGATAGATAATTTACAAGGGATACCCTAGAGACGGGCGGAAATACGAAGCACTGCACCCTAATCAACATAGTGAACTGGGATAGAAAATAACCTGCGAAAAACTCACAAGATCGGCCCACGGTAAGAAACGTAGAAACGTCACAAAGCGGATATATTGTAGGCTCAACCCCACCATGTTTGGCGAATTCCTCCGAGACCCGTTCGGACCCCTGGCCGTCGCCTCCCCCACAGGAAAGAAGCAAACGGAAGCGAACAACTTTCACCTCTTGGTTGCGCATCTGCAGTACGTATCTATGTTGATGGACACCCACAACATGTTTCAAGGCTTTTCCAGGGTATCCACAAGGACTCCGACACTCGTTGCTCACCTGGACACCGCTCTATGGAGGTGCACTTCAGCTTCTATATTGTAGTAATTACGAGGTGACTCTCCAATGCTCTCCAAATGTGCAAGCGATCACTATAGCTAGCCTTTCTTCCTTCAACTCCGAGGGCTCCTTCCCACAAGCTAACACTCGACTGTATACGACTTGCTACAGTAGTCACAATATAATGCACATGGTATGGCACGAGGAGAAGGTTTCTTCGGGAAACAAGGGCCGTGGCTCTCTCTAGTGCCGAGTCGAGAGATGGTCGGTACCTCGGGGGTTTAAACATGGAAGGAGACGGTTTGCATGCGGTGTGACAGCTCCGGCGCCCTCCTTTCCAGCGGACAGCGTCGACGCACAGATCGCGTTGGTTCTACGCCTCTATCGACGCCCGACTCGTATGAGTTCATCCACCACTCACTCGCTTTGTCGTGTTTGCTCCCGCGCATGGGGTTGCCGCCATAACCATCAAGCTTCTACAGTCACATGGTAGGTACCTAATGTCACCTCGTCTTTGAAGATTCTCGAGGAGTCATATCTCCAAACCAGACAAATTGCGACCCCTCTCTTGGCGTTGTGGGAAACGCACTCCCAGAACTGTCACAATCACTTGACTTGTTGCTCCCGTCCTTGCCATCACGATGAAAATTAACATCGGATTTGTCTTGTTCCTGGCAATGGAGACCCTCATGATTAGAACAGGCAGGGGACAAGTTTATGCCACTCAAGCCGTTTGCCATGGTCCTTCCAGCGCTGTCCATCTGCGAGGCTTTCATACGCAGACAACCCTTGTAATGTTGCCGGCGCCCAACAGGGAACGAGGAGGAGGAGGAGGAGGAGGAGGAGGAAGAGGAGGAGGAGAAAGAGCAGCAGGAGGAGCAGCAGGAGCAGGACAAAGAGCAGCAAGAGGAGGGAAAGAACATGTATTCAACCTGCCATGTCTGACTCCACACTATCCACAGTCGGTGCGAGAGGCCTAGAGGTAACTTTACAATACAAACCACGGCCCGTCCATTGCGGACGCCATGCCCTCGTCGGTGCTTGGTAAACGGTACTGCTGTTGCACAGTCGGTTTGGATCCAAGCAGTAATAAAATGCAAAAAAGATTCGTAGGTATGTATCCAAGGTCAAAACCAGAATGAATCGCTTTGCCAATGAACGCGTCACATTATTGGATCGATGAAAAACAGGCAGCTGACTGTCGATCTTGTGCAGAGGTTCACGAGTGGGGCGTAATATATGTTTTATGAGATCAAAAGAGGAGAAGCCTTGAAGCTGGCAGCATCCGGAGATGAAGGTGTATGCGGGAAAGTCTAATGGTGTGACAGAGCCCAGGAAACCCGTAGTAGACAGGGACCACAGACCTGTCGGAAAGCGTCCTGGATTTTTAGGGGCAGTGTGACAGGGTGATGATCATCGGGGCGGCCTCCCTTCCGACTTCTTGGAAAGAAGCACGCACGTGCGGTGTGCGTGATGTATGCTGACACTCAGCGGCCATCAACCACACACCACTATTCTCCGTTTGTATCCGTTCAAGAAGGATACTCATGGTCCAATAGATTTTATATCCGGTAGCTTTGCTACTATTTGTAACGACATTACCGTGAGCTAAGAATGGCCATGACGAATTGCGCACCTCACAGGGAATGTTCCCAACCATGACCAAGCTACAGTAATACCGCCGTAGTTTGCTCGTGCCTTCTTGCCCCGCCGTCTTATCATTCCGCGTCGCCTCCCACTGCAGTCGGTTGCGACTATCTTTGCGACAAGTGACAAACTTATGCAGAAACAAACCTATGTTTGTCGCGAATGTTTTCGCTCTCCATTTGGCCTGTTCGCTACACCGACCAATGTCGCACATAGGACCTGGCCGCTTTCGTTCGAGCTAGCTCGAAGGATGGATGGCAAGACCAACAACGCTACGACCAAGAGCGAGGTCAATATTCACCGTCATCCAACTCCCATATCGCGAACAAAGATCCCTCTCACCTGGCGACACGGACGGTCCAACAAGGTTCGGGCAGTGGCGGCGCAACAGAACAGTACCCCCCTCGCAACCAACCTTTTACTGCAACAGGGTGCGACCGTAGCGCCAGTAAGTCGGGATTGATGTCTGAGACAGAGTCGCTAGCGGAGTTGGTTGTGACAAACTCAGCACTCCTGCACTCTATCTCCAGCAGCAGCAGCTTCTTCACGACCGGGGTCGGTTCCACCAATGCCACCGGCAACAGCAAAGC